CAAGTTTTTCTTTTTCCTGAAAATTTTACCCTTTCACCCATAGCTGTTATTCTCCAGAAACGCATCCATTCCCTGAAATGCTAACCTTTAACACCGTTCCTCCCTCTAACAAGCTTGCAGACCTTCGCCCATTATCCTGCCCTGACGGTTCTGGGCCACTCGGGATTTGCCCATGTATCTTCGGCACGTTCTGCACGGCTCAAAACCTCTGCTGTCCAATTCCCTCGCTTATACCCAAACCTCGCCCGGTCGCTCGATTTGTGAGCTACAAAAAACATCGTCGTCAATCGCCATCACGATTGGAACATCGCGATCGTAGTACGGATCGCCGACGAAGCAACCATAAAGCGACGACGTTCGCCACTTCATCGTTGATTTCAAGTGAGTTTTGTGCTTGTCTTATTTGCTGTTGAGCACGCTCTCGGCTAGCTATGGAGCGCGCTTGCGCGCTGGTGCGGCTAATGAGTGTTTGATTAGTGATCGCGCTGCTGTGCTGTAGCGTCCGCGTTTACGTCCACACGTTGTCACACGATTCACGAAAAGTTCGCAAAAACCCGAAAAGCGCGTGAGCGTGCTCAGCTGACTATGCTGCAGTGACTTTTCACCAAACTCTTTTGTTTTTCAGTGACAAGCGGAGCTGCAGATGGGGGCGCTTGTACGGCTATGAGTGCTTCGTGTGTGGTCACAGAAGACTGTCCCCCATGGTTTGCGTGCAAAAATGGCTGTTGCCAGTTGGATGTGTGTCCTGGAGGCGCAAAAGTGTTCTTCACATGCACAAGTCTCTATCAATGCCGAGCTGGAGAGAAATGCGTCTTTGGCGGATGTTGTCCGCAAGTGCAGATAACGTCACTGTCTAAGGAGCCGCGAAAAGCAGTCGAGTTGACTACGGTATCAGCCGACCTGATGGTGAAAGGAAACGATGAGCCCTATAGCAACTTCGAGACCCTAATTACCAGGCCAAGGCCCATTGTCGACCCCTACGATGCTCTTCCCGAATCCGGCTCCCTTCTCAGATTAGAAAAAACAAAAACCAAAACAACCCAAATGCCCTCTGCCACTCCCGTAGATGACTGCGAAGTGGATGAACGAGTAGAAGAATGCAGTCTCAGTAACCCCTGCCCAGAAGCAAGCGAATGCCTCAGCGGTCGATGCTGTAAAATGAAAGTCAAACGGTGCAAAAACGGACTTTTTGC